TAGTAGAAGGCGTCGTCGCCCCTATATACTTCTTACGAATATACTAGTATAGAAGGTTACCTAACTTAAATCGCCGCCTATAGACCTTGTAAGCGTACTTCGTAGAGACAAATAGTTAGATCGCCGCCGGTAGGGACGCTTTAGCCTATAGCACCGAGTTTAACGCTAATAGTAAGTAGTCGCCTATATCTATAAAGTAAGCTCCTAAGCCCGAATCGGAGTTGTATAGGTTAGTAAAGTAGTCGGCGTCTTCTCCGGCGTTACTAAAATAGCTATAATTATCTACGTTAGTTCTCCTATTATCCTCCTAACTATCCTCCTAATAGCCGTCGTCGGCTTAGTTAGTATTATTTACGATATCGCCTGCTTTCTTACTATTATCGGCAAAGTTAGCCTACTTACGAGCTCGATTGTTACACTTTCTATTCTATCGATTAAATAGGCGCGAATCGACTTGCTTTAGGTCTTTCGGGAAGAAGGTAGAGCTACTACCCTTTAATAGTCCTTTACTATTTCCTACTAGTAGTAGGCGATTCTGCTAAGAGGCGTTAGGCAGGCGATTCTACTAATAGGCGTTAGTAAGGCGTAGTAGGTTCGGTCGGTCGATATCGCGGTTCTAGTAGTTAGAGGATACTCTTACTAGAGCGAAGCTCGCTAGAGTATAAGAGGCGTTCCCTTCGTATCGGTTCTACTAGGCAGCCTTACTAGCGCAGCTATTGTTCCTAGTCGTAGCGTCTTAGCGACAATTAGACGAGGACGAAAGTATATACTCCTAGATTAATACCTACTTCTCGTAGTGCGTAACCTATTTATCGACCTTTATACGACGATTTAGCTCGTCTATATTTAATTAGAGGCGCGGGTCTATTCGACGGTAAGCTTCTAAGAGCTAGTTCGATTTCCGTACGCTAGTATTCTTAGCGAGTCGCACCGTCTTAATAATAAAGTCTGTTACTAAATGCCCTAAAGCGATATCCTACTAGTTATAGCGTTACTTATTAAGGAGATCTATTGCCTTTATCGGAGGGACCTTCTATTTCTTACTAAGACAACGTTCCTAGCGCTTTAGACCGTATCCGCCGTAGAGCTTTGCTCGGTTGTAGCTAGAAAGGTAACTATAATACTAACTAAGCGCTACCCCTCGAAAGTAAAGAGAGAGGTTAAGACGAACTGTCTCTTGCCCTACGATATAAGTATAATCCTTAGCTACTTCGATAAAAGTATATACCGAACGGTATATTATCTTGTTCCTAACTAAGGCGTAGTCTCCCTCGCTATAATCTATAACGCTAAGTAGAGGATCGAAGAACCTAAGATACGCTAGATCGAATTGTAGCTACTAGGGGCGGGCGTAGTGCCCCTAGACATAACTCGCTTTAGAAACTAGCGCTTCCGTAACGTAGTCCCGATAATACTAACGGTATCTACGACGGCGGGCGTATCTATAATAACTAGCATCTAAGGAGCTATTGTTATCCGACGAGGATTAATCGGAGTCGTCCGAATCCTTACTATTAGATAAAGATCTATCCTTACTCGGATTATCCCTATACCGACGGTATTTCTAGCGTTGCTTCTTGCCTTCCTATAGTAGACCCTATAAGTCTAATAGCGGAAAGGGCAAAGGCTAACCCTACGCCGGCTTACGAGAGGAATTACCTAGATCGAAGTTACTAGGTAGTAGTAGTAGAGGATCGTTAGGAGGATTTCTAGGTAGATTGCTAGGAGAATTACTAGGTAGATTGCTAGGCAGATCGCCTAGCGCAAACCCGCCCCGACGCAAGCAGCTATACCTACGGGCATTTATATATATGTCTGCCCTCTACTAGTAATCGTATTAACCTAGGTTCGGCTAGGGCGGACTTAGCTTACGCGTAGCTAATAGCAGTAAAATCGCCTATTCTATTAGAAAGTCTAATACGACTTCGTTAAGATAGACTCCTCTCTGTCTAGCTAATTCGCGAAGATAATTATAACGCTAATAGTTTTGTTATATAGCGATATTCGCCCTATCGATCTCCTCGGTTGTCTACGAGGCATCTACCGGAGTACGATATTAGAAACGACTACGCGGCTCGTTAGCCTATAGGTTAGTAAGGCCGTCGTTTATTAGAGGCAATTAGCCGCGACCGATGTCCTAGAACGGCGACGTCGACAGATCGGAAGGCTTAGTTAATAGTTCCTTAGGGGAAGTCGTAGATAGAGGCCCCCTTAGCTTCTAAGGATTCTCGTCCGCCGGGTATCGTAGCTTAAGTAGCCTCCGTAAGAAAACCGATTTAAGCGAGCTATTAGGCGAACTAGGACGCTATTCCGGCGGTACGGTTATTTCTACTATAGTAATAGGCGAAACCGTAGGCCGTAGTAGAACTTAAGGCAGTTAGGCTAGTAGGCGCTGCTCTACTATAGGTAGTAGATAGATCTCCGGGTAGAATTAACGGTAATAGCGTAAATCGCGCACCGTTAGGAGCGCGGCTTTAAGCTCCTTAACCGATTTAGTTAGAATTCCTTTATCTACTATCTACTATCCTAGGAAGTTATAACCGTTAAGGGCGTCTAGGTAGAGTTCCTCGATTTTAGCCTATAGAGGCGGCGGATTTCCTACGAGCGGGTAATAATATAGAACGTATAAGGTAAGTAAGTCGATTCGGCCGTACTTTGCCCTAAGCTAGGTTGCGAAGTTCTCGCTATAATCGACGTAGTTCTAAATATAGGAACAGATACGTAGGATATAGGGCTCTATATCTAGCAATCCGAGATTGTAGTACTAGGGCAGCGGTTAAACCGCTAGCTTAGCTAATTTCGAGGCTTCTACCGGAGTTAGAAGCGAGTCCGAAGGAGCTACGGTAAGCAGGTAAACTATTAGTAAGAGGGTAGAGGCGAGATAGTCTCTAAACGGAGGATAATAATAGAGAACCGACTAAAGGCGGAGGAGCGTAGCTTATCGGGCAGGTCCTCCTAGGGAAAGCGGCTACCCCTAGACCTAGGTATAGTAGGCAATTACTACTAAAGGTAGAAACTACTACTACTATCTCCTCGGGGTACTAATAGGATTGCCGATAAGGCGCTCGCGCGTCGGTAGGGTATAGTGCGGAAGGGTAGTAAATCGAATAGGTACCGTCGTAACGGATAGGAGTTAAATCGTAGTAATCGGCGGAAGATCGGTAGGACCTATAGCTAATCGCGTCGATTCTCGTCGTAGCCGTAATAACTAGGGTCGATTCGGATAGAGGACTAGTAGTTAGTATAGAAGCTAACTAAGTATTAAGCGAAGCTACTAAGTTGCTAGGTACACGGTTATAGTACGAAGGTATCGTAACGGTTATATAGTACAAAGGTTAATATATTCTCTAAGGTGCCGCGAGGCAAGCTATCTATATAATAGTCCTACTATTAGTAGTAATAGCAACCGTAGCGGTCGATAGTAACCGCTACCTACTATCGTATATATAATAGTGTTATATCGTAATACTCTTCCGTATCTAATCCGAGTATTAATAAGAGGATAGGGAAGAGTTAGATATTATCTCCTTACTAATCTATCGCTATTCTTTACTATTCTTTATTACTATTATTAATAACTACTTCCCCTATGTCTTCTATATTACTTCTAACCTCTAATCTATTACTAGAAGGGTTTGTACGCATTAGATCCGGCATTTCTATACCTACTAGCGGTATAGGTAGCAGCTTAGTACCTAAGTAATCTCTAGTATCTAGATATCTTAAACCGTAGTACGTAGCGACCTTGTTTCTACGATAGTAAGATAGGCAATTAGTAAGTAACACTGCTACTAAATAGCAGGACCCTATCGGCATTAAACTAGTCCGTAGCCCCTTCTTATACTCGAAGAATAGCTAGTTGTTAGTTATCTTACTAAACCCCTATTCGACCGACTGTCGTAGAGCCGACTATTCCTTCGTAACCTGCGCCTATATAAGGTTACGATAGCCGCCTCTCTTCGACTTCTACGATCTAATAATGCTATTAACCTGTCTATATACCGAGTTACTAAAGAGAAAGAGCTTGTCTTCGATAGGGTCGTTATTAAACAACTTATGCTATACCTAGTTAATATTAGACTCGCGTACTAGTCGACTATCGCCGTAAGAGCTAGGATAAGGGCTATTAATAAGCAGTATTCTATCCGGTAGCTATATACCTTAGAATTTAAGGCTATAGAAGTGCTTATAGCTATTATAGAACACCCTCTAGTTGCGACTAGGTCTCGCAATCTTCCTTATAGTGCTATCTATATATCCGAAGACACTAGACACTCTAACTAATAGATATAGCGACTCTGCTAGGCTCCGGAGATATTGCTTACTAAGCCGCCTCTTATTAAAGAATAAGAACGACTTCTACTTTAGCGCTAGGCTATATACTACCGTATTAAATATATAACTTAATATAGTAGCTAAATAGCTAAACTTCTTATCTATATCCTTCTAGAAGCCTAGACTAGACAGCCGCTTATAGACAATATAAAGTACTATTATAGGTAGCAATTTAAGGCTAACTAGCAATACGATTAAACTAATATCTAATAGGTCTACTAACTCTATTAATTTAGGCCTTATAAAGCGGAAGTTACCCTTAATATTAGCCTCCGGATAACTAAGAAGGTCGAAGCGCTATTTATTATATATTCTCGCCGGTTTAAATAGTCGGTTACGCCTTAACTAGCGGTACTACTATTTACGTATAGATTTATTATTTACCCTCCCTCTACGCCTACTAGTCCTTATTACTACTATCTTCCTCGAGGTATTTACTCGTAATAGTAACGACCGTTGTAGTAGCTATAGTAACTATAATCGCTCTAGTTTCTATAGTTTAGTATACTATACTGTCTATAGGTCTATAGCTGAGGTCTATACTCCTAGAAGGTCTAGAACAGGGGCTCCTTACTATACTAAACCGCTTTCAATTACATACTAATTGGCCTCTTCTAAAGGTCCGTAAAAAGCGCTATATTAATCCTTCACCTAACGGTTACAAGCTAGCGCTTATTTGGAAGCCGGTGGCCAGGTTGACCATTTCTGAAGGTCCCTAATCGGAGACGTACACTGCCAGAGGCTCCAAGCAATCGAGCTTCGTATCATCTCAGCATGCGGCTCCAAACGAGTTGATGATGAAACGACACCGAGTTGTGATCGACAAGTCTTCGGCGACCGCTCCGTCCTGAGCCTATTTTAAGGAGCGCCTCCTTTTCACACACCACATCCGCTGCAACAGTTGGAACGTGCCCTCCCAGCCCTCCGCCACAATCATAAGCATACGACGATGCTTCACAAGATGGCTTGGCCGTTCACTGGCACGAATGCAAACACTCTTGCACTGGAGAACTGATGACCACAAATTCAGCAGCGGTCACAAGCGAGGAAGTCGCGATGGCTCTGCTGTTCGCATTTCATGTCGGAAGCTAGCCCTCCAGTGTGATGTCCTTTTCCGTGCAAGCTGACAATAATGCGCAGAGCTTCAAAACAACGCCGTCGCCCGAAAGCGTCAACTGTCGTTCCACTTTACAAACACATCAAAATCTTACGTCTTTACCCAAAGTAGTCATCTGCGACTCAAGGTGGTCTTGCGTCTTACCACTTTCGGCGAGTCGCATTTGCGTTTCATGTCGTCAACTACACCTCAGTGGCGCCTTAAACAACGACGCCTTCTATCATTGGTAGGCTCGTCAACCTTCTCACTCTGCACTCCTCCGAGGTTTGATGAAGGAGAAGGATGTCATTTCAAGCTATCGGTGTCTAGCTTGATCTTTTGCTGCAAGATCTCCCTTGCCGAAGACGCCGATCTACAAGCTTCGCGGTCATGCACATCATTCGCGATGGCTACGCGTCTATCCGGAGCAAAGCACGCAAGTAATACGATGTAGAAAGGTAGGTATATGACCAACGGCCAGTCTCTTGTCACTTTTGCTTCGATCCTACACGCACTCCAACCAACAAACTACCCACATTCCTTCAATTGCACTTCTCGACCACTGCCAATTTTCTGGCCCATTGTTTTTAATCACAACACTCTCATCAATCAAAAATGCGTGCCTCCGCTATCTTCGCCATCTTCGCCTCGGCCGTCGCGATCTCTGGTCTCGCCATCCCAGCCGATCAGAGCAGTGCCGGCGGTCTAGAGTCTATCGGATCTGCTCTTGGCACGTTCGGCTCTGCTACTGGTGACCTGAATGGAAACCGGAACGGTAATAAGGGCAATGGCAGTGAGTGTTGATGGTAGACGTCTTTGAAGAGCAGGAGGCTAATGTAGGTTTTAGACGGTAACTCTGCTGGCAACGGCGCCGGCTCTGGCAATGGCAGTGAGTGTTGATGGTAGACGCCCTTCAACACCAGGAGGCTAATGCAGATTTTAGACGGCGACTCTGCTGGCAACGGCTCCGGCTCTGGCAACGAGGCCGGAAGTAAGTGATGTAGCAACGAAATGGATACGTACAGAATGCTGACTTTGCGTTTCGCAGACGGTTCTGGCTCCGGCAACACTGTATGTTATTCGATGGCTGCTGCTGTTTCCATACATCACATTTACTGATCATAATCATAGTTCGGCAATGGAAACGGTTCTGGTTCCCTTGACGGCAATGGTACGCTTGATCACCGAGATGTTCACGAATCCAATACTGACTCCTGCTCAAGGCATCACTGGCAACAAGGGTAACGGCAACGGCAACGCTTTCGGCTCAATCACTGGTAACCAGGGCAATGACAGTAAGTAATCCGCGCACTATTGGTTTTAACTGCATACATGCTAATAGAATATTCCCAGACGGCAACACGATCAACGTAAGTCCCGATGTCGATCCAACAATCAACATGTGAGCCCGATCAAAGGCAACACTGAAAAGTACACTGATATGAGAATATAGTCTTCGTAAGAAGGTCAGTCTTGCCGTGGACCCAGCGATTCCAACCTCGATATAATCAAGCCCCCAGCTACGTACGCAATCATGACGGCCGCGTTGAGTCCACATGAGGGAACGAGATCGATCACACTATCATTGCAGCGATTTCCCTCGAGTTGTGATCGAATCGCATTGAGCATTAGAAAGCAACGGAGCCGAGCGGGATCTTGGATGGTGTTTCTTATCACTACTGCTCCAATAATATTTGATGGCGAGCGGGCAGTTATAGATTTCAAGCGATGCGAAAGGACGGCCGAAAGGAAAGATTCGCAGTACAGCACGCATGACCTGCTTATTGCTTATGACAAGATAAAGTTCTCTTTACATGCCCAGCACATCTATCGTGCTTTACCTTTCTCAGAGCTTGCTCATTCACTTCATCACGCTTCACATGCTGCGTTGACAATCATCTCCCTCACCTCCCAATACTATATGTACCTCCCTCCCAAACCGTGCATGCGTCACCTTTCACTTCCCCCACCACCCGCACCTTGTGACGCAGACGTGGGAGGAGCATGTGGCGGCTGACATGGAAGAAGTCTCACGCCTCGCGTTCGCTGAATCCGAAGCGTGCTGCAGCGGCATTTTCTGATTGGCTCAAACCGCATCGAAATGTCTCCCTCACGTTCAGAATGGTGTGCGGGTCGTGGGTGTCGCGTGCTTTTCCATCAAGGTAGAACTGACGGTGAGTGAGTGGATGGGAAATATGTAGTACAGAGGACTGCTCTTTATTTTCACCTCGTTTCTCTATTCTACCACTTTGATTAGAATAATCGTAGCAAGGAACCGAACCGATTCCCCGGCCGGATATTTTGCCCTGCTTTTCCCCGTCCCCGTACCGTACCCCCGCGTCCAGAGTTGTCGTCATCTTCGAGCTTTTCGGAGCCAAGACGCTGCTGTGGTTCGCACTTTCGCAGCATTCCGGAGTTTTTGGTTCTACAGGTCATCGTTCTTTTGCATTGGGCGTTTTTGATGGTGCATTGGTAGTGGGAGTATGAGGAATCTATGAGGAACGCTGAAAGAGGACATACGTCGCACCATGCGCCGCTTTACGGGACTCTGTGCCTCAGCACTACTGGCACAGGCACTTGCAGCGCCTCCGGCCCAGGTGCCACTCATCGATGGACAACTCACAAAGAAGCGGCCACTGCATGGTCGCTTCCTCCAGATCACAGGTGCGCAGAGAGCTTGGGAGACGTCTTGGGCTGCATCTAATCCGTTACCCAGATTTTCATCCAGATCGCTTCTACGAGGTCTACTCTGCGACATCAGAAGAAGCAGCATGCCATCGAGGTCAGGGACCCGCCGGCATATATGGCGCAGAAACGAGCGAATGCGACAGCCCGATTTCGCTGATCAACAAAACGATGGAATTTGTCGCAAAGGAGTTCAGAGACAACATCGACTTCGTGATATGGACAGGAGACTCCGCCAGGCACGACAATGATGACGAGTTGCCGCGGACGGCTGAGCAGGTTCTCGGCTTGAATAGATTCATGGTACAGAAGATGGCAGAAACATTTGGCAAGCACAACGGAGACGAGGAGGATGAGGATCCGAACCACGATTATGTTGTCCCGATCGTGCCAAACTTGGGTAACAACGATATCTTGCCACACAACATTTTGGAGAAGGGTCCAAATCAGTGGACGAGAACCTATGCAAATGTCTGGAGACAATTCATTCCCGAGGTCCAAAGGCACTCCTTTGAGCAGGGAGGGTGGTTTTACGTCGAGGTTATTCCCCGGAAGCTGGCGGTCTTTAGCTTGAATACGTTGTACTTCTTTGGGAGCAATGCTGCTGCAGACGGCTGTGCTTTGAAGAGCGAGCCAGGATACCGACAGATGGAGTGGCTTCGCATCCAGCTTCAGTTCATGCGCGACCGGGGAATGAAGGCCATGCTTATTGGACATGTGCCTCCGGTAAGACAGGAGGCGAAGACATCCTGGGATGAAACCTGTTGGCAGAAGTACACATTATGGCTGCGGCAGTACAGGGATGTGATCGTGAGTACTCATTACGGACACTTCAATTATGATCATTTCATGTTCCAGGACTTCAAGGAGATCAAGCAAGACACCGAGGAAGGGCGAATGCATTACCTTCGCGCTTTGGGGCCGGATGACGGCGACTTTTCTGCTCAGGCGAAGACCGACTACTTCATCCAGCTGCGTGATGAATGGGCCGAGCTTCCCGAGCCACCAAAACCCGAGTCCAAGAGCTGGCTTGATACTATTTCCGGCAAAGGTAAACAAGACAAGGAAAAGTACAAGAAGAAGCAGAAGAAATATTTGAAGAAGATGGGAGGAAAGTATGCTGAGCGCTTTGCCGCATCGTTCGTCAGCGCTAGCGTTGTGCCCAACTTGTTTCCGACTCTGCGCGTCTTTGAGTACAACACGACCGGACTGGAGAACACCGACCTAGATGCGATCGATCTGCCGGCCCCAGCACCCTTTGACTATGATGTCGACGATGTGAAGATTCAGAAGAAGAAGAAAAAGAAGAAGAATAAGTTCACAGTCCCGGAGGCGCCCTCGAAGTCAGCGCCACCCGGACCTGCCTACTCACCCCAGACCTTGTCCCTGTTGAAGTACACGCAATATTTCGCGAATCTCACCTACATCAACAACGACTTCACCAAGTCATCCGTGAGCGAAAGTGAAGTCGACCCCGCCGGGTGGCATGAAGGCAAGCACAAGGGCAAGAAGCCGCACGAAAAGGACCACGAACCAAATCCCAAGAAGTTCAAGTATGAAGTCCTTTACGACACCAAAGAAGATCGGGTCTACCACCTTGAGGACCTGACGATGCCAAGCCTGATCGATCTCGCCCGTAGAATTGGCGATTTTGTTTCCGAAGACTCAAACGACAGTGAGCAACTAGAAGTAGAAGACGAAGAAGAGATAGAGGGTGGTGGCAAGCATAAGAAGAAGAAAAAGAAACACAAGAAGCATTCGAAGAAGTATCGGAAGCGGAACGAGGCGTGGTATACGTTTGTGAGGAGAGCTTTTGTGGAGACCTTGTCGTCAGATGAGATCGATGAGGAATTTGGGCAATGAATTGAGTGATATTCTGTTAGCGTTGCATGTTGCAGCTGCTGTTGATACCCCAGAATATGGCTTGTTATTGGAAGAGTCGTTATATCTATCTTGGGGGCCTCAAGACGCGTCCTCGGGTAGACCTAATTGTGCTTGCTGCGGGATCTGGTTCCGTCATCAAGCTGCTGACCTTATTAGGAGTGCTCGTTACCTCTAGGATCCACTCGACAGATCGCTGGTAAGTTATGCGTTGTGCCTCATTTTTCGGAGCTGTAGAGTTCTCCCCGCGCTGACTGACAAAGTTGGAAGGTTACGTAGTAGAGGCCTCGCTTACGTTATTATATATTGTCGGCTTCTTCCTCATGTGAAGGCCAAGAGCACTTCATATATATCTCCAGACTCGTCTGCATCGTGTTCCTTTCGCTGTCCATCGTCAGCACCTCCCAGTATTCGCCATGGCGGCGATCGACGAGAGGGACACTGTCCCAATACCACAACCTCCTGGCTATCCAATCATTGGCAACTTACTCGACGTGTCTGGAGATGTGCCTATAATGAACCTGGCAGATCTAGGAAAGAAGTACGGAGACATTTTCAGCCTAAGCATCCTCGGCAAACGACAGATCTTTGTGGCCAGCGCAGAACTGATGCGGGAGCTGTGCGACGAAAAGCGATTTGAGAAAGCCATCAACGCAGCGCTCTGCCAGCTGAGAAATGGCATCCACGATGGACTTTTCACAGCTCATGGCGGCGAGGAGAACTGGAGTATCGCGCACAGGACTTTGGTTCCCGCGTTTGGGCCGCTGAATATCAAAGACATGTTCGATTCCATGAAAGATATTGCTTCGCAGCTGGTGCTCAAGTGGGCACGACATGGAACGACATACAAGATCCCGGTCGCCGTCGATTTTACTCGACTGACCCTTGATACCCTTGCGCTATGTGCCATGGACTATCGCTTCAACAGCTTTTACACCGAACATATGCATCCATTCATCGACAGCATGGTGAACTTTCTGAAGTATGCCGATGTCAGATCGAAACGACCCGGCTGGATGACTTCGTTCTACAAAGCGGACGAGGCGAAATGGTGGTCTGATATCGAGTACATGCGAAATCTGTCGGCGGAACTCATACAACAGCGGAGGGACCAACCGAACAATTCTAAAGATTTGTTGAACGCCATGATCAAGGGAAAAGATCCACGAACGCAGAAAGGCCTGCCGGAGTCCTCCATCATCGACAACATGATTACATTCTTGATAGCGGGTCACGAAACTACTAGTGGTATGCTTTCGTATGCTTTCTATTGTCTGCTGAAGAATCCCGACACGTACAGGAAAGCGCAAGAAGAAGTGGACCGCGTGATTGGCAAAGAGAATATCGAAGCTCATCACCTAGACAAGCTGCCATACATCACAGCCGTGCTCCGAGAGACAGCACGCTTACATTCGACAGCGCCATCGATTTCCCTGTCGCCCAAGAGTGAACAAGGAGAGGTGATTGGCGGAAAGTATCATATCTCACACGGCGAGGTGGCGCGTGTCCTCCTGCACAACGTTCACCGAGACCCTGCTATATACGGAGAAGATGCGGAGGAGTTCCGACCTGAACGCATGTTGGATGACAATTTTTCGCGATTCACACCTTACTGGAAGCCTTTCGGCAACGGAGCTCGCGGATGTATTGGCAGACCATTCGCATGGCAAGAAATGATGCTTGTTCTGCCCATGCTATTACAGTACTTCAACTTTACTCTGGACGACCCTAGCTACGTGCTTCATACTGCGTTCACATTGACCATCAAACCAAAGGACCTCTTCATCAGGGCAACTCTTCGTGAAGGCTGGACACCACTAAGCATCGAGCGGCACCTTGCAGGATCAACTGCAGCCGATATCAAGCACGGCCCAAATGTGCCAGCAGCGACAAGTGAGAGTGACGACAAAGGCATCCCAATGACGATTCTCTATGGCAGTAATAGCGGAACTTGCGAGGCTTTCGCCCAGACACTGGCAGCAGGTGCCAGAGCACATGGATTCAAGGCTTCGAAGGTCGATACGTTGGACACTGCCAAGCAAAATCTGCCGGCCAAAGAGCCCGTGGTCATTGTGACTGCAAGCTACGAAGGCGAGCCGACGGACAATGCCGCACACTTCTACAACTGGCTTCAAAATCTGTCGTCGGACGAGAAGCTGAAGACCAGCTATACAGTCTTTGGCTGTGGGCACTCGGACTGGAAGCAGACTTTTCACAGGGTACCCAAGGCCATCGACAGCATGCTCGAGACGGCCGGTGGAGAGCGAATGTGCGAGATGGGTTCTGCAGATGCTGCGAGAGGAGATATGATGTCGGCCTTCCAAGCTTGGGAGGACGAGACACTGTGGCCAGCACTACGACAGAAATTTGGCGGCCAGGAAGGTGATACTTCCGCGGCATCATCACTGGCTCAAGCTGTCTCGATCGAGGTCTTCAGCAAGCGAGCATCCAATTTGCGCGCCGACGTTTCAGAAGCCAAAGTACTTTCCACGAAAACGCTCACAGCAGCCGGCGCTCCAGTCAAGAAGCACATTGAGCTCCGGCTGCCATCAAGCTTGACCTACCGAGCAGGCGACTATCTTGCCGTCCTGCCACTCAACCCAGCAGAAACGGTCCATCGAGTTGCCAAACGCTTCTCCCTCCCTTGGGATGCTATGCTCAAGATCACATCACGCACAGGCACTACGCTACCGACAGACCATCCGATATCCGCGCATAACTTGTTCTCGGCCTACTTGGAGCTCTCACAGCCAGCGACCAAGCGCAACCTAGCGATGCTTATCGAAGCGGCCGGAGACGACCAGACCAAGAAGGAGCTTTCAGATCTTGCCACCGGTGACTTTCAAGCCAACATTACCAACAAGCGCATCTCGCTCCTCGACCTCCTCGAACGCTACCCTGAGATCCAGCTGCCGCTGTCTGCCTTTGTCGCATCACTTATCAGCATGCGAGTTCGGCAGTACAGCATTTCCAGCTCACCCCTGTCGGACCCCCATGTGATAACGCTTACATACGCAGTTCTGGACGAACCATCACTTTCGGGCGTTGGCCGCCACGTTGGTGTTGCTTCCCACCATCTCAGCCAGCTTCAGCCCGGCGACATGGTCCACGTAGCCGTCAAGCCCAGCCCCGCCGCCTTCCATCTCCCCTCGAGCGCCGACACCACGCCCGTGATCATGATTGCCGCAGGCGCAGGACTAGCCCCCTTCCGCGGCTTCATTCAAGAAAGAGCCTCTCAGATCGGATCCGGACGCAAAAAACTCGCCCCCGCGAATCTCTACTTCGGATGTCGCCATCCGGCACAGGACGATCTCTACCGCGAGGAATTCGATTTCTGGGAGAAGATCGGGGCGGTCAGTGTGGTTCGCCGATCTTTCAGTCGAGCGGCCGACCTGTCTGAAGGGCATCGACATGTCGATCAAGTCATTCTGGCGGATCGACGGAGGTTGGTGGAACTCTGGGATCAAGGTGCTAGAGTGTACGTGTGTGGGAGCCGAGGACTTGGAGAATCGGTCAAGCAGGCGTTTCTGAAAATTGCGAAGGACGAGGCTGAAGCGGAGGGGAAGGAGGTCAGTGGAGAGGATTTGGAGAAATGGTTTGGATTGTTGAGAAATGAACGCTACTCGACTGATGTCTTTGCTTGAACAATAACAACACTACTTTCCGAAATTTGGCGCACGCGGGCATCCTGACATGGAATATATAGCGAGAATTGTTTGGGGGGGGGGACATTCCATAGAATGAACAGACAGACCTACATATCACAACACTCTCGCCTTCACCACAACCCTAAAACCCTCCGGTTTACAAAACCAAAAACACCTCGTCTCAAACTTCCCCTTCTTCTTCTTGTCACCATCCACCAATTCCAAATCAAACCCCCCCCCCCCCCCCCCCCCCCCACAATCATCGGCACAACCTTACAAATCTCCAAATACGAAAACATGCCTCCCAATACACGTCCTCGACCCCAATCCAAACGGCACAAACAACCCCTCCATCCTCTTCAACTCTTCCCCGTCGGCATCAATCCACCTCTCCGGTCGAAATTCCTCGACATCCGCCCCAAAAATTTCCGCATCGTAATGCGCGACCCAAGAATTCATCCCCACCTCCGTCCCTTCCGGGAAGAAGCCCGTCCCAAAATTTCTATCCCCCCTCCTCCACACCCCGGCGGAACTTCCCTCCACAGTCGCAGAACACATTCTTTCTCAAGCCTTCTCGGATGCAAGCCTGCAAGTACGAAAATTTCAAAACTTTCTTTCCACGTGATTCTTCCTCTATTACTACTCCCTGCCGTCGTGTCGAGTTCTTGACGGAGTTTTTTCAGACTTTTCGGGTTGGTGTATAAATGGTAGAAAATTGAACTCAGAGATATGGCCGTCGTGTCGGAACCGGCGATTATGTTACTCATGCTGACGTGGTAAGGCGTCATGGCGTTTTCGGGATCTTGGGATGCGTCGAGTGTGATGTCGAGGAAATCTCGGGGTGCGTGCTGGTGGTCGTGGTCGTGGTCGTGGCGTTTTTCGCTTTGAAGGAGCCGTTCGGCTTCGCGTTCGCGGATGCGGCGTTGGGTGTATTGGATTATGTAGTTTCGTCCTTGGGCGCCGGAGCCGGGCAGTTTTTCGAGGAGTTTGTAGAGGAGGGGGTGCGCCCAGGAGTAGATTCCTGCCAAGGTGCTGTAGGACATGATGGAGTGCAGGGATGCGAGGACGTTTTCGACGTCTTCGCCGCGGTCGAGGAAGCCGAAGCGGCGGGAGTAGGTGATGTTTCCGATCACGTCGAAGGCATCTGCGTGGTTTTTTGGTTTAAGTGTCGGTGCGCTTTGGTTTGGGAGGCTGTCTCACGTACAGCATTGAAGCCAATGGTGCATGTCGACCGTTCTGCCGTCTTGGACCATTTCCTCAAGTCGAGTTTGGAAGACGTCTTGAGTGCTCTCGACGTATTCCTCGTAATGTAGTAAGCTGCTCATAGAGTACATGCTTTGGAACTTTCGCCTTGTTTCGGCGTGGCGTTGGATGTTGCGATCAGGGAACATCGTCCAACGCTCAGGACTTGGGTGCTTCCACCCTTCGTACCAAGAGCTCAAGTGAGGCATCAAGTCAGCTTGACACAACTTCTGATCTTTGAGTGGTCGGCTTACCTCTTTGGCATCTTGCTGCCAATGCCGTACACAGCCTTGTCTGGCCTCGAGATGCTGTACATATTTGGCCCAAGGCGAACAATCGGCGCAAAGAATTGGCCATCCTTGGCATATTTGCCATGTAGCGCGATGTTATCCAGATGTGCATGGCCATTCCATCTGCTGCGGAAGAACCATAATCGGGTGAATCGGGCTAGGAATGGACCCGGTACGTCCTTCAATGGACTCGTTGCAGCGCGGAACAGAGGGTAGAGCAGGGCAATGATGGCGGCAGCGATCAATCCATATGTAACGAACATTGCAGTGCTGACGATGTCGATGAGTTGTTCTGCGAGGAAGACGTAAGATGTTCTTACACAAGGACCCGCAGAGCGCACATTATTTGTGAACCCATCTGCTTCCTTTCGCTTCTTGTGGGTCTCTTAACACCTAATTCTCGCAATTGCGATGCAAAAGTCTGAACTTGGCTGGATGTTTCTGATCTCATTCTGCTTGACGGCAGATGGGACGGGAGGTCATATTACCGTGCCGGAGTAACCGTGCCTACCCCACGTATACCGCGCGATTCGCGTCTCCTTATAATTTGTTAGTAAAGCTAAATTGAATGCTATTCTAGCTATACTTCTCGTACTTCTCGCTCTAGTAGTAACGCTTAGGGTTAAGAAGGAGGTATTTCTCGAGCCTACCGTCGATTTAGTACTAATATAGTAACTAAATAATACCTCTCCGCTATAAACCTAACGCGTCTCGTAAAGCTAAAGAGGCTATAGAGTCCGCTACTATAATAGTAGAAGCGTAGTCTACTACTAACCCGAAGAAGCGTAAACGTACCGTAGCGAGTACTTTAAAGAAGTAGCGGAATAGTAATATAATAGGGGTTATATTAGTAGGTAGATAGGGTAGTAGTAGATATAGGTAGTATTCGATAGAGAACTAGGAGGAGAAGGAGGAAGGCAGGCTAGTTAGCCTAACGCTAAGCGCTAAGCCCTACCTAAGGTACTAAGACCCTAGCTTTACTCGGCCTAATTATATACTAATTACGTATAGCCTCTTTAGCTCTAATATACGCTTCCCTTCTAAAGGCCGCGCCCTCGTAGCCTATCTGTATCCCAATCTCGACCTCTATTACTACTAACTTAGCAAGTCTAATAAGCCGCTTAGCCGCGCTAAATTAAACACTTAACTACCTAATTATATAACTATATTAAACCTTACTTCTAATATAATATAATATACAACTCTAACTACGATATCCCTATATATAATAAACTATAAAGTGATATATATCTATAAGAATTAAGGGCCTTCGACTAATTATAATATAAGCGCGTCTTCTCTACTATAATAGGTAGACGTACGAGGTATTATAGCCCTGCCTCCGCTCTAAGTAATGTCGTACCGAGTTCTTTACGTCTACTCTTAAAAGACCTAGAAATGTCCGCTCCGAGGGTTTGTCCGTTCCGAGGGTTGTTCTTATTATTATAAGGACTATTATTTACTATCGTAGTTTTACTAGCTCTAATTAGTTAGGTTTAGTAGCCTTTAAGTGTTAACTAATTATATCTTTTCAAAAAACTCAGTTCTTCTAGTTTCTATAGATAAAGGCTATTATAAGTATAATAGTTAAAGTTCGCTTCGCTTAAAGGGTCGGAAAGATCGAGGAGTAACCTATTATCTACAAGATCGACCCTAGCTAACTTAGCTCTATAGTTTTGCCCTTAGTTAGTCTATTAGCTACTTAATCTTTTAACTTAGTTAAAGTTTTAATTAAACCCTTAATAGGTCTAATCTTTTAACTTAGTTAGTATAGTGCTTTAGGCTCGTAGTATAGGTAAGGTTGTTTTATAGGTATAGTAGCAATAGCAGGTAATGTTAATAATAGCGGCCCTAGTCGTCTTAGCGCTATCTTTACCTTCTTCTAATTTCCTTCTTTAACTAATAATAACTTAGCAATACTATTACTAATATAGCTATATCCTTCCTTTCTTAAATAGTAATACACTCCGTAATACTGTTACTAATATAGCCGCGCTAGCTGCGCCGTCGTTATTATTATTATTACTATCCGCGCGCGCTATCCCCGCCGACCGCCTAGGCCTCGAGATCTCGATAGAACAAGGGGGCGCTAAGAGAAGGGTCTTATAGGGTACGCTAATAAAGAGGCAGTTTCCTAAAAGAGTAGCGAATAGTTAACGCGTTATAGTGCGTTTGTTAGCACTCGGTACGCGTCTACTATAGTAGTATAGTCTTATTGTCCTAGTTTGTCGGCCTCCGATTAGTTAGCTAATAGTACCCTAGGGGTAGCATTATTCCTAGGCGACATTATAGGCCCTTAGCCTTCTTCTTATTCTTTACACTAGTCTAATACCTATTTAACAACTTAGCTATATTCTTAAAGGAATCTTTAGCCTCCTACGAGTCCTATTTAGGTAAATAGCCTTGCTATCTTAGGAGGTACTCCTTCTTACCTTGTCTAGTCCGATGCTTTAGAATACGTTCTATAGACTATAGCTCTTTACCGTCGGCTAGTATCTCTTTATGTTTAGTAGGGGCTTCTTTAGGGCCTCCGCGGTAGTAGTATAGGTTAAGGAGGGAGATATAGAAGGTATTATAGATAGTATAGTATAGTAGGAGCTATAACTAATAGGCCTAGCTATTGCCCTTCGGTTCTCAGATTCGGAATAGGCTAATAAACCGTAGTGCTAGTTTAGGGCGTATTTTGCTATCGGGTAATAGGTGTTTACGGATACGGAGGTTCTTTATACTAAGCATAACTATATCGCCTTGCTTAAAGGTTATCGGTATATAGTGTTTATTATAATAGGCCTTCTAATAGGCCTAGGCCTTTGCTAGTTTGTTAGCTATCTTAGCGTAAATCTCTCGTATCTTTTAAACCCTCTCGATAGCCGCTAGTATTTTAGGGGCTTAACGCGCTTCCCTTTCCTTACGCTCGGCCTCGAGCGAGGTAAATAGATCTTGTAGTAAGGTAGCGTTTTAGCCTATTATAGCTATATATAGTAAAACCTTAGTTAATAAATACACGCTATTATTATATACAAATTCGGCCGGTTATAGGAGGTCGACCTATCTATTAGGGTCCTTATTAATATAGCTTCGTAAGTATTGCTATAGCGTAGCATTCTGCCTTTCGGTCTAACTATCTGTTTATAGATAGAATGCTATAGATAGGCGATGCTTAAGTCTTAGCTATAGGCAAATCTTACTCTAATAGTAAGATATAAATATTGAGCCTTAATCGGAGACTATCCCCTTAGGGGTCCCCTAATAGCTATAGAAGATATTATTCTATAGCGACTTAGCTAGGTTAATAGCCGTCTAATCCTTTCGGGTAGGAATGTAACGAGCGCCCTTAGTAAACCGGTCTACGATAACTAGGATAGTATTATATATATCCTTACTACCTCTACGCTTAGTAGGCGGAAGGCCTATAACAAAATCCATTATAAGCTTAGCAAATAGCTTCTTTAGAATAGGGAGTGAAGACAACTCGCTAAATAGTAAGTGTTTCGGTGCTTTAACTCGTTAATATACGGCATACGTGTTTACGTAGTCCTTTATATCCCGCTTACTATTTAGCTAGTAGTATATACGCGATAGTAGCTCGTACGACCTCTCTATACTATAGTAACCGGCAAGCTTACTATTATAGTGTCGCTTAAGAAGTTCTTATCGGATCGAATGTTTAGTAGGGATATAGTATCTGCCCTTAAACTTTAAATAACCTTTATTATCGATCGACTAATTGTTGTTACTCTTACTAGATCGAGTCTTTCGCCTACTTACAAGCTTATCGATACGTTTAGTAGCAAAGGCGTCCCTCTACTAAGTACGTAATAGCTTATCTATAAACGATTAACTATCCCTATTTGCAAGGTTATTTAATAGCACTCTCGCTATTAAACGAGGTACGTATTATATATATCTAATAGTACTAGCAGCCGAATTAACTATAGTAGTGCTTTAATCGCTATTACTATATATAGCGATATCGACTAGGGAGTTATTATAACTTCTCCTATCTATGTCCTTAATACGCACTATTAATATAGTAAGAGCATCGATATACTTTAAGCCGTCGTAGAGTCCGGTAAGCCGCTTATCCTACGCTTGCTTATTAATAATATAGGCTATAGCAATCTTATACTATAGGGTTAGAAACAAAGAATTAATATACTAGGTCTCGCTATTGTAATTAGGTCGCCTCGATAGGCTATTAGTAGAGTTACTTACGCCTAGCTAATATAATATATTAAAATCGAACCTAGCGAGGTAGACGGCCTATCTAGCCTATCGACCTATAACCCTAGTAACCTTCGTAATTCTACGGAGGTTGTTATAGTCCGTATAGACCTAAATAGGGTACTAAGCACTATCGAGATAATAGCGCTAGTACTTAAAGGCTTCTACGATTGCTAAGAGCTCTTACTCGTAGGTCTCGTAACGACGCTTAGTATTAATTATCTTCCTTAAGAAGAAGGCAATCGGGTGCTAGTAATTGTTATTAGCCTATTATAATATAATAGCTAATATAGCAAACTATAAAGCGTTAGTCTTAATACGGATCTGCTTACTTAGTACGAAATAGTATAATAAGGGGACTTTAGTAAAGCGCCTCTTTAAGCCGTTAAAAGCGGCTTATACTCTATTAGTCTAATTAAACTCCCTAGATAGGTTGGCCTTCGTTTTAGTAAGCTTAGTTAATAGCATTACATACCTCGAATAGCCCTTAATAAACCGGCGGTAGAAGTTAGTAAAACCGAGAAATAATTAAAGCTCTTTAATAGACGTAGGAATAGGCTATTTAGTAATTGTTTTAATCCGGTTAGGATTAGCCTTAATACCCTCGGTTAATACGAGGAAGCTAAGGAAGGGCACCTCTTTAGTAGCGAAGGTGCATTTAAAGGGTTTGTAGTATAAGCTATAGGCCTATAGGCGGTCGAGTACCTTATATATAGCGGCCTAATATTCCGTAATATTAGGTAAGTATATATAGACTAGGATATCGTCTAGATAGACTACGTAGAGGTAGTCTAATAGGCCCGATAGGGCCCTATTACGATCTTAGCGACTTGTATATACAATTCGAGGTTACGTAACTAAAGGTTATATAACTTAATACCTAAGGCATCCGCCGAGTAGATAAAAGCCTCTTCCGCGAGAGAGCCTCTCTCTCTTTCTTCTTTAACTCGTTATCAATTTAGATAGCTATTTAATTAATATCTTAATAGAATAACGAGTTCCTTTATTACCTACGATAACGTTATAGGTACTATCGCGT